GCAACAGGCAGCGCACCCGTCATGCCATCTCCCTGCTGCCTGCACACTGTCCTCATCCTGCCATCTCCCTGCTGCCTGCACACTGTCCTCATCCTGCCATCTCCCTGCTCCTGTGCCTCTCCTGCCTTCTGCTGACCACCACTTTCCTTCATACACATTAAGTAACCTATACTTTTATTGTAATGTTCTGTAGCTCTTTACACTATTTCCTACTTACTCTTCTTTTACCACCAAAAAAGTGTCTGATGTCTCCATCTTTCCTTTTCCTCATAGTGTGTCTGTGAATAAAATCTCATCTATATTTAACAAAACAGTATCTGATGAAGCTTCTAACAATGTCTATAAATATTTAATTGTGGAATGCACAATCAATACCACAAAAATTCAAATAATAAGGCTTATTATTTGCTAGCTAGTTTTTTTATGTTGCCCCTATAGGTCTCACTTATAGTAATGTTTTTTCAGAGCATGTTATACCTTCTTATGCCTAATAAACCACACAGGCTAAGTGGAGAATTAATTTCAGAATGGCACAATTTATTCGTGATAAAATGAGAATGAAAACATACGGAGTTCATCTCCTTGGAAAATGACCATGATCGATTTTATCTCACCAAATAAGCCTGGTTTAAATAGAGAACTTAGCTTATCTTTCTAGTTAACGTAACTAACGTTAACTGTACCGGTGTTCTGTCGAGTTGAGCTACTTTGTCGAGGTAAGCTAGCTATGGTTAGGGCTATCAATTAGCACTACGGTAGCTTACCTCAACAAAGTAACTCAACTCGACAGAACACCGGCCTCAGAAGGACAATGGTAAGTAATTCAACTCATAAAGACGACAGCTTGCATTAGTAGATGAAACACTTAAACGAATAAATGAAGGTTGTAAAATAACACATTTTCAACTGGCTAGACTTCTGCTGCCTACTTTCATTTACCAATGCACGACAGACGAATACAATGAACAGGTCAGTCAATGAGAATGAATGGCGCAACCGACTGGCTGCTTCTAGCGCCGAGGTGGTTAAAATGGTACGATCTACATTAGGGGTGTCTGAAATCCTTTTACATAAAATTTTCCTACAAGGTGAGGTTATCTTTTTCTTTTTAAAAATAAATAAATAAATAATAATAATAACGTTAAGACCCCCCCCCAAACTGCTATTTTTGTCTCTTTGATCGGGGGGTACAGTATACGTACCCCCCGTAATTCGAACCATGTACCCGCCGATTTCCCCGGATTTCTGCCATATTCAATATCCACTCCCAATTTACAATTTCTTCCGATAATCTCCGCATCCACACTTTTATGATATAGTGACAACCGATTCCTCGAAGTAGTTTAGAGTTACCCTGTTCAGTTACACACCTAGGTGTGTCAATGTGCAATAGCCTAAATAAGGTAGGCCTATACAGAACGTTTCATTTTATACAGTGAGCTTACTAACGATTGCAAGCCGGGAATTTCATGAGTGATATGAACATGAAATGTGAGACTTTGAGCTTGAAATAAAACATCCCTCCTTACAGATGCCTGTACAGTCTTAGGCACTATCACTCTCAGAAAAAAGGGTAAAATTACCTTTTCTTGTCACTGGGGCTGTACCCTGTAATTGTACCTTTAAAGGTACAGAAATGGACTCTGAGGAACATCCCAAAGGTACAAGCAGCATTAATGTGGCATCAATGGTACAGAAATTTCCCTCATAGTCAATTTTCGTATCTTAAAAGCTACATTTACCTTCAGCTAAGGGTACAACTGGCAGACCCTTCAGGGTACAGCCCCAGCGACAAGCAAAGGTACACATTTTTACCCTTTTTCTGAGAGCGTGTAAAGGGCTCCTTCACCCACGGCAGAAGGAAGGTGCTGTCTGAGGCTGCCACCACAAACCCTGGAACTGCTGGTCAGCCATCTGAGTGCTTGACAAGCCATTGGCAGTGCTGGCTGTTTTACCAGCTAGAGGACCAGCTGCATGTACAGAACAAAGGCACCCTGCCTTCATCTGACTGGCAGACAGCACTGTGCAAAACAAGTGAAGCAGATAGATGAAGCCTCTCTATCCAAATGCTTCAACCTCTGCTACCGAGTGCTTACGGGTGTGTGTGTGCCTACCTATCTATCTATCTATCTATCTATCTATCTATCTATCTATCTATCTATTTATCTATCTATCTATCTATCTATCTAATCTGTCTATCTGTCTATCTGTCTGTCTATCTATATAAAGATGTCTAGATCCTAAAGATGATTGGGTGAATCTTGCATGTGTTGTATTTAGAAGTAACATTTCCACTACACAACAAAACATCATCTTCCTTTCTTGAAAACAAATATAATTGAATAAGGAATGGATTGAAATACCTACCGTTTATACTGGACGGTGATTTATACACAATTAACAAGCCTGACCGTACACAGCAGCAATAACAGAAATGTCTAATCTTGGAATTGGTCGCCATCTGTAGTAGTGCTAGATCTATATTAAAATTATGATGTTTGGGGCATTATAAAAGCATTATGAAGGCCTCCCGTAACAGTCGCTGAGCCCTGAGGGACTTGTAATATTTATAGGACAAGGTCAGACACGCCGCGCAAAATAACGTAAGTAACATTTAGGAAACGCGTCTCGTTAACGGTTTAGATGCAGAAAACTCCTATGTTCTCTGACTCCTCCCGGTCATGCTCCTGAATGGATCCTCTCTCAGGTTTTTAAGCATTTTGTATCCATACAGTACCATGCTTGATTATTGACCTCTAAAGAATCATCCTTGGGGTCAACACGTAAATAACCCGCCATGTAACTCTTCATGTCAACCCAAGAGCCCTTAACCATAAATAGAAGGTGCATAGAGATAGTGACATCTGGTGGCGGATTTCGGAATATCTTTCAAATTCAGAAAATATCATTTACTGACGTTACACAAAGTCCGTCCGCCACTGAGGGGTGTTTCACAGAAGTACGACTTCTCAGTTAGCTGGATTAACCATAAGTCCCTATTATACATTATTGTTAAATAAATTAACTGTTCTGGATAAACACAAACAAAAAGACAGAACCACAACAATTATATGATTAAAGAAAATATGGTGTGAATTTTGTGCACTTTGTGCAGTCACTGATGGGCTTTTTAATAACACTTTACACGTGAAAGTAAGAAACTTTGTAGGAAGGTCATTTACCAAGATGGGGTGGGTGGCATTAAAAGCCATGTTAGCTAACTAGCACTGATATATACCGATCAGCCATAACATTAAAACCACTGAGAGGTGAAGTGAATAACACTGATTATTGCATTACAATGGCACCTGTCAAGGGTGGGATTGTATATTAGGCAAGTGAACAGTCAGTTCTTTAAGTTGAGGGTGTTGGCGGGAAAAATGGACACACGTTAGGATCTGAGCCACTTTGAAAAGGGCCAAATTGTGATGGCTAGATGACTGGGTCAGAGCATCTCCAAAACTGCAGGTCTTGTGGGGTTTTCCCAGTATGCAATGGTCATCACATAGGCTACCAATAGTGGTCCAAGGAAGGCCAACCTGTGAACCACTGATGGGGTCATGGGTGTCCCAGACTCACTGATGTGTATGGGGAGCGAAGGCTAGCCCGTCAGTTCCGATCACACAGGAGAGCTACTGTAACACAGATTGGTGAAACGATTAATGCTAGCTATGATAGAAAGGTGTCTGAACATACAGTGTATCAAGCCTTACTTGCGTATGGGGCTATGTATATAGTTGTAGACCGTGCTGACCCCTGTCCACCACTGAAAGCGCTTACAATGGGTATATGAGCGTCAGAACTGGACCATGGAGCAATGGAAGGAGGTCACCTGGTCTGATGAATCATGTTTTCTGTTACATCATGTGGGTGGCCATGTGCGTCATTTACCTGGGGAAGAGATGGCACCAGGGTTCACTGTGGGAAGAAGGCAAGCCAGCAGAGGCAGTGTGATGCTCTGGCAATGTTCTGCTGGGAAATCTTGGGTCCTGACATTCATGTGGATGTTACTTTGACATGTACCACCTACCTAAACATTGTTGCAGACATGTATTGCTGTCAGATGCCACAGTCCATGCCTCAGGAGCTGATTTGGGGAAGGGGGACCTTCACAATATCAGGCTGGCGGTTTTAATGTCACAGCTGATCCGTGTGTATCTCCGTAAATCCCCGTTAATCGCATACGCCGTTGTAACATCACTCATCCACCAGGTGGCGGCCCGGGGCCTGTGAACTGCAATTATAGCGTCTTTCCCCCACGACTGGGCACCCCGCCTTGTGCGAGCATGATACTTTGTGACGCTTCCTGGCCTGCAGGGGGCTTCGCGGAGCGCCGGGGCTTTGATGTGCTGCAGCTGTTAGTGGTTCAGCGTTACAGACACCTTTATCCATGAAAGCATTTTAAACGGGAAAGGCACGCTGCTTCTGTTCTCCGTAGTCAAGCAGGTTTTGTTCTTTTTTTGTCCAGTTTCAGTGTAGTTATTGTTACTCCGACCACAGACTTTAACGCAGTTCGATATTGGGTTTAAAGGTAAGTTAGTGGCTAAGTAGCAGCTTCGGTTACATAAGCGGCGTGTTGTCTTTCATCGGTTTACATCGTTTCTGTCCCGTCTTGCGAATAGATGTTTAACTTCTGCGTTGTGGCTGCTTTTGTCTTTTATGTAGTGTGTAGTGCAGTAAAGCTAACCCGCAACTCTGTGTACAGTGCGGTTGCCTAGTAGCGGGTTTTAAAGAGACAGACCACCATTGCTCTGTAAATTACTAATTTATTTCTCTAACACTTTATTTATTTTCTTTTTCAGGGGAATTCTATTAAACCGACTTGGTAATGTGTATCTGTTTTGTAGTTTGTTATAATTTGCTTAAATGTTGGTTATTGATAGGTTCACTTATTGATTTATAGTTGGTTATAGTTTGGCTAATTTATTATGTTTAAAATGCACAGCTAGATATTGCCTGAGCTAACACCATATTATGTGGGATTTGAACATGTAAAGTCACAAGGTGCTTTTCAAAGGAGCTTTTCATGTTATTGCACTGTTCTCAGCACCCATCTTAGATAACCTAGATCATTTCTGAAGACACTTCTGAGAAAGCAAATTTTCTGTTCTTTAGATTGTGAGAAATGTTGATGGCTGTTTTATTGTATGATTTTCTCATTCTGGGCACAGGTGGTGGCTGTCGGTACAGGATCCTCCAGAGGCTTTTGCTCTACCTGACCTGTTGCCGGTGACCTTTCTTGACCTCACTGTGTATGAGGTGCGGGAGGTAAATCTTCTCTTTCGTGGCTTTGGCTAATTATTTTTTAATAAGTTAGAAATGACTTGAATTTCCAGTTTCCAATTTTAAATGTGTGAGAGGGGATCATGCCATTATGCACGTTAAATGATGTGGGTGCAGTTGGCAGTTGGGACAGACTGTGGCACTGAGGCCGTGCACCTCCAGGGCTGTGGGGTCAAATCCCACCTTGGCTGTGTGTGTGTGTGTGTGTGTGTGTGTGTGTGTTGTGAGGGGTTCCTCCTGCAGTTCAAAGACATGCAGTTACAGTATACTACTTGATGTCTTTTAATTGCCCTCAATGTATAAGAGTGTGTGTTGTGTGCCCTGAGATGGCCTGGCATTCCAGGGTGCGTGCCCCCCCCCCCCCCCAACGCCCTGTGCTGGCCCTCCCAGAACCCCCCCACCAGGATGAGTGGTTGGAAGATGGAGGGATTCAGTTGGTTGTTGCTGTTGGAATAATCAAAAAGGGGGTGTCACCCATAGTCGAATGTAATCTGTCTAACAACTGTTTATAGGATCATTGCAAATGTAAATTTTTGCCATGTTTTGGGATGCAGACGTCGAGAAAAATGGCCAACCTCTGTGAGAGCTCTCTTCAAGAACAGAAAGCTAAAGTGGCCAATGAAAGAGCGTGTTTCGGTCAGGATCCACCATATATGGAACTGAGGGTGTGTTCCCCCTTTAATCCCTGTACCATAAATATACAGTCTATTTGCTGATATTACTCACCTGCTTGGAGGTCATTGTGTTTCCCTGTTTGAAGTGGGCTTTTCAGTCACTTGTGAACCCTGAACATTTTGATAGGCTGCAATTGAAGTGTAGTTTGTAATATAGTGTGATTAGAAAACTGTAAAGTTTATATACAAAATGTAAATTTTTCCACACACAGAATTATCAACATCCATTTTTTCTAAATTTACCTGAAACTTTGTACACTACATTGTCTTCCCCGGGTTACGACGGTCTTTGGAAATGTTAAATGGTAAATAAATGTTCATCACTTTCAAAATACATTATTCAATAAATTTACATGGGGTACGCAACATCTTATTTATTATAAAATAAGCTTTGTGTTAATGATTTTGCCCAACTGTACGCTAATGTAAGTGTTCTAAGCATTTTTAAGTTAGGTTAGGTGTACTGTATTAAAATACATTTTCGCCTTATGATAGGCTTATCGGAACATAACCCCACCGTAACCTGGGGGAGAGGGTGTGTGTGTGTGTGTGTGTGTGTGTGTGTGTGTGTGTGTGTGTGTGTGTGTGTGTGTGTGTGTGTGTGCATATGCACATTACAGGGCAGAAGTTTAAGCCCACCCTCAGATTAAAAATAAATAAATAAACGATACACTGCTTTGTCAAATTTATTAAAGGAAAATACTAGAAATACTTAACAAATATAACTGGCTGGCTTTCAGTATTTTATACCTTTTATTAACACATCATTTAGCCACAGAGGCTGAAAATATTGGTTTTGAAGACGACATATCAGGTCTGTCTTCAGTGCATTGACGTTCACTTTGTGTTGGAATTCTGTTTACTAATGTCAGACCTTAATTTACTTTTGGCCTCTCCTGATTGTGTCTTAATAAACTAAATGACAGCCACATGTCTGCCTTGTCTCAGATCAGTTTGTGAGGTTTAATGCACTGTCTGCTCCTCATTTCAATCTTCTGTTGTACTACATCGCAACTGATAAATCAGAATTTTTGATAAATACTTGTTATACTTGTAATGGCTAGAAAGGCACAGCTAACAATTGAACAGGGAGCTCAAATTTAAAATTTGAGTAAAGAAGGGTTCTCTCATCGCCAATTAGCCAGAAAGTTAAATTTCTCTAAGAATGCAGTGACCGACTGTTAACAGAGGAAAAAGGTTGACAGAAAGAAACTGACCAGAAATGGTTTGGGGCAAGAAAAGTGACATCAAAGGCTGAAGATCAACACTCGGTTGTAACATGCAAAAGAAATCGGAAGATGACTGTAGAGGTCTGAGGGCTGCGATTAATGTGAACAGAGGGAAACCGGTGTGTCTTTACTGCATACTGGACTGCATGGTCGAGTTGCTGCCAGAAAACCTTCACTTCATAGTGTTAAGAAAAAGACACTACAGGCTAAACACAGACACTGGAATATTCATCACGGGTAGCAGGTCTTGTGGATGGATGAAAGTCCACCTATAGGACGAGTTGGACCAACAAGTTCAAAGTGAGCGTCTAGCAAATGAGACAGAACTGTTTGCATGTTTGAAAAGGTTTGGGAGGATTTAGATACAAGCTATTTCCAAAAATTGCTGGAAAAGATGCAGTGAATCTGTGCCGCTGTGATAAAGGCAAGAGCTGGTTATTCTGATGAAACTCATTCTTAGACACTCGCATTCATTAAATTGCACTTACAATGCACAGTAAATTGTTACATCACACTTCAAAACCAGTCAATTACACTTGTTTTAAGTTCTTCTAATATTTTCAAAAATTTGAAACAGCAGTGTATCTTTTTTTTTTTTAAACAGAGGGTGGGCCCAAACTTCTGCCCTGTACTGTGTATGATATATATGTATATATGTATGTATTTATATATGTGTGTGTGTATTTTTTTATATATATAGTTTTGTTAATCAGTGTAAAATGTGTTGTGGATGATCCTGAGTGTAATTTCTCCAAATAGGCTTTGAGTGATGATGCGTACAAAGCTTCAGTAAAGGAGAATATTCCCCCCTCCGTGAGGTCCCCCCCTCCAAGTCTGCAAGCTCAGCAAAAAGGTACTGCATCAGGGGGCAGTCTGGGTGCTTGGAGTCTGTCATCATGGGGGACAGAAATGTGTCACTGTGTGTCTTCCTGCCACAGGGACGCCTGGCCCTTCGTTTTCAGGGGACGTCTTTGGGGCCAGTTTGCCTTTGGGGGGGGATTACGAGAGGAAGAAACAGCAGCTGCAGCAGGAGCTGCGGCTGGATTATCGGCGCTACATGGCTCAGGTAACCTCCAGCAAAGGGGCCCTTAACTGAAAGGGGCCCTTAACTGAAGTATGTAGTGTTAAATCAGACGAGGGGACATTAAATGATGAAAGACTGAATGTATGACAACTGATGTGGTGACTGAGAATTGTGTGGGAGTCATTTGATGTGACCGAATCAGATTATTGAACAATGAAGTAGTGAAATGAGGCCCCCTGCTGGTGCATTGAAAAATGCTGCTCAGTGACGAAGGAGGTCACAGTGTATCTGTTTCTCTTACCAACCTGCAGGAAACTTCCAGACCGAGGAAGGAGGTAGTGTGTTTATTCTCTATTCTCCTACTAGTTAGTGTTTCCTGCATAATGCTGGGACTGATGATTAAATTAGTCTGGGTTTTATGGATTTTCATGATCAAAGGTCATGTGGACGGTACCCTGGAAGGAGAAGTTTCCTGTCAGTGTCCATAGGGGCATCTGCTGCACCAGAATCATTGGGCTATCGGTCACTGGTCCAGCTGGTGTGCGTACTGTGTTAATGCTCTGGAGCAAGTCTAAATTTAACTGGGTCTGACATCCACATATCTTTTCATTACCTCCACAATTACCATTGAGTTGAAGGACTGTCTCCCTATGCTTTATAGAAAAACAATCAGAGCACGATTGAGCCCAGCCAGCACCTCGGCCTTTCGCTACCCATTGGCGAGAGGAAGTCTGCTAAGGTAGCCATCTGACCACATGGGCATTGACCAAATGGGTTTATAGGGAAAGGCAGGGGGCGCCAACTCTGGCCACCTTCAATGGGCTGGTCATGCCTGCTATCAGAATAGGTCACCTGATGCTTTAAAGGGTGTGCACAGGAATCATCATTAATGCAAGAATAAAAATGTCAGTGCCTGGAACCATTTAACTGAATATTTCATGGATTCTTCATGCACTGTTCAGTTGATGGTGTTTAAGTGTCTGTCAGTACGGTAATGCACTGTTTGTTCTACGTTTCCCAGGAGAAATTAAGAATTGAAAGGAACCATGAGTACAATCAGTTCCTTAGGGGTCTTGGAGAAAAAGTCAGGGCTGTGCAGGTACATTTCCCAGAATGCAACTGCTTGACATGAGATTTGAAGGGCCCTGCATTAGAAATCTGCACTTGAATGTGCAACCTGAAAAGTACAGGTCCTTAAAGTACCCTAATGCTACTTTTAGATGGCAAAAGACATGAATATGAACTGCAAGCACAATAGACATCATGCTAATGCAGTATAATGTAAGAAAATCTTCAGTACAAAAGTACTGTTCAGTTAATTGCTTTTTTTGGCCATTCTGGGTCCAAATGGCTTCCCTTGCTGCAGGTCGGTGATGCTGATCCTCACTCAGCTTCCAGAAACATGCAGATTGTCGGTCTGGGGGCCTCAGAAGTCGACCTGCACCAGCCATCGAGGAGGGATGCCGCCACCTTGACGGAAGCTGAGCGGAGGCCCCGGCCAGGGGGGGGCGGGAGCCGGGGGCCAGACGAGGGGACTCCCCGTGCACCCCGAGAGGAGGACGACTCCGGGATGGACTTCTCGGAGGACGAGTGGGATCATCTGGCCAAGAGACGGCCTCGGTTGGGCCGCCAGCACGGCCGAGTGGAGATGAGGGGGCGGCGGACCCGGGCCCCAGACAGGTCCTGCCCCACGGGTGTCCTGCTGATGTCATACAGTGTGCCCTGTCTCCTGTGCCTCCCTCCAATCCCGCTTCTGGTCTCATTTCACAGAGATGGAACAGAAGACCTGGAGGATTATGCAGAAACACGAGCCTTTGCTCAGACCAGGTGCCCCTCTGACGCCGCCGCAGAGGATGAGGCAGTGGGTGTGTGGGCAGCATGCCCTCAGTGCCCACTCACCCCCAGCTGTTAGATCTGTGGTCCCTCACTTTTACCGATGGTGAGGAAACAGTCGTCAAAAATATTTACTTATTAATTTCCCAGAATTCCTCAGGGGAGGAGAAGGCATCAGCCCCCCGATGCTCCTGATGGGGAGAATACAGAGGACACCCGGAAGATGGCACCTGTGACACCCAAACATGCGTACGTGTCCCGCCTTCAGATAACTAAAAAAAAATAAATCACCAGGTGAAATGAGAAGTTGGCCAATAAGGCCGTTTCTTAAACCAGAAGATTGGGGCTTTATTGACTCAATGTGATGGTCAGTTATTGGACGATGCTGCTGTCTTTGAGAGGTTACTCACAGGGAAGCGACAGCTTGATTAACACTAATGGGCCAGATGCAGTCAGCAATCCTGTCGGTGGGATCGTATCGATCCGGCACGCCTGACTCAGAGGCTGAGGAGTGAGTCTCCTTCTTGGAAACATCGCCGCGGTAACCTGCGGATGCGCTTGTGTGTCAGGCTGCGGGTGCCTGTGGAGGCGAAGGGCACGGAGAGGTCCGGGTCAGCCGGCGGCAGGGACCGGATGCAGTTTGCCACCGGACTGATGATCGGTAAGAGCGCCGGGGTCTCGACGTGCCGTGGCTTCTTCCCTCATGCTGTGTGAGCGCCGCCATTTTTCCGCCGGACATCTTAAACATCTTCTGTCTTGCTTCAAGCATCATCTGTCCTGCAGAAGTGCCGCAGCGATGATGCCTGCTTATAAGGCCTGCCTTCCATCTTCTTTCATTTTCTGTTTCGTTAATCCTTTCATGCCATCGTGTCTTTTAGCCGCCCTGTAATTATAGCAAAACATACTTGCAGCATTTAAAGCTTGGAGCATGTCAAGCTAGTTCAGGCTGGAGATGTGTACAGACTCACTGCTGAGGTCCATCCAGGCCACGTCTCTTTTGCATGGATGGCTTGTGTGTGATAGCATATGCTGGTGGCTTTTAAATGCAAGAATACCGTCGGGCTTAATATCGAAGCTCCACTGTCTGAAGGGGCTGGACCGGGGTCCCGTGGTAAGCATGCGGTTCTTTGACCCCGTTTCTGTCACAAAGTCGAGCCTTGAGCTCTCCGACGCCGGGCGTTATTGGGGTAGGCTCCCGCAGTAAGGCTGTGGCGATCTGCATGGCAGGGGCTGCTGAGGGACAAATGACCATGCAGAAGAAGAAGGAGCGATACAGACAGGAGCTGCTGGAGCAGATCGCGGAGCAGCAGAGGAACAGGAAGAGGTACGCACTCCCGGACTGGAGCCGGGCTTGTGTCGGGCTCATAGGCTCACGTTCTGTCACCATGTGCGGTTTCTGCTAGATTTGGCCTGGAATCGAGAGCGCAGACAGGGGTGGTAAACCTCACAGAGACGGACAGATGGTGTCTTTGGGCCGATGAGCTCTCGGGGTTGTGCGACGGGCGTCTTGAGCAAAGAAGCGTGTTACTGTGAACAGGATCAGGGGTCCCTTTGTGCTGTGAGCTTGATCCCTTTTAAGCCTCATGCTGCTTTCTTTGACAGAGAGAAGGAGCTGGAGCTCAAGGTTGCTGCCACAGGAGCTGTCGACCCAGAAAAGCAGGTGAATCTGCTGTGGGTTTGACTCGCAGAAAAGAGTGCAGAGATGCAGTCCATGATTCTGATTCTATGCATCCTGTATCATTAAATCAGTTTTTCTTAACCCAGTCCTCAGGGACTCCCACATTTTGTCCACATTTTTGATCCCTCCCAGCTCACAGCCAATGAAGAACATCGAATACCTGGTACAGGTGTGTGTTCAGAGTTGAGAGGGAGCAAAAATGTGGACTGTCTGGGGGTCTCCGAGGATTTGGTTGGAAAACGCTATATTAAATCATTAGGCCACGTCAAGTGGCTGACTCTGTATTTTCGGTAAATGTTTTACCCCACAGCCTGACCGCATCAAGCATTTCGGGGCAGTGAGCCATGAGCAGGACAGCACACGTGATGTCCCAAGCAGACCAGGACTGGGAATAAGAAGTAGTAATACTGCTGTGAGGCCCCCCAAGGAGAAGCCCCCTCTGGACACAAAGGAGAAAGCCCCCCCAGCCAGGCCACTCCTAGCCTTCCAGTCTCCCCTGCTGGACTACAGTGCTGCCCTAGAGGCACTGGCGGGCACTAGAGCCACAGCGGGCCTGATGGGCAATGGGCTCATTCCACTGGCTCAGTCCGAAGACCTCCACAAGAACCTGTCTAGCACTCTGGGAGAAATTGCTGCCTCTCAGTATGTCAACATGTCTTTCTCTGCATATGAATGTACAGAGTGTGAATGGGAATTACAGTATTTTGCTTTCGGGGGGTGCTGTATGGTGAGCAGTGCCCCCATGGGGCTACCAGGCGTTTCTACAATACCACATACACAGTGTTTGTTCTGTTCTTCAGAATCCACAGTGTTCCCCCTCCTGCTCCTCCCACGGTCACTGAGGCGTACAGAACTCCTTTTGACCAGGCCTACTTTTACTATGGAGTACGGAACCCCCTGGACCTGAGTTCGGCCATTGGTGAGCACTGAGCACCTGGCTTTGTGGAGGGGCGGGGGCAGTTTCCGCTGTGCTTCATAACGTGAGTTCTGATAGGCTGGCTTCCAACAGGCTGGCCTCCAATAGGTTGGCCTCTTCCGCCAATCATCAGCTTGACTATATTCTTTTCCAATCAACACCCTTATAACTTTATAGCAGAAACTTGCTGGGGTGAGTCTGACTATGTGGTCCGTCTCTTAACTCGTTGCTGTTTGATCCTCCAATAGGCGGGCCAGCTGGAGGCGGAGCCCGTGCTGGGACCTTCTTTGCACCCGAGCATCCTCAGGGTCAGCTGGGCCATGCGGAATCCGTGCCACAGTAAGACTTTATCAGCACAATAAGAACGGCATAGTGCATCACACACTGACAATGGACATGTGCCTTCTGAATGCACACACTCCCTGTGTTCCTGTGGCGAGAATATTATCAGTCAGTCTGTCACTGCCATCCTGTTGGGTGATTAACTGTTCAGTGACAGTGACATGGAAAGTACACATGGAATTTGTTAACCAAACAAGTGTCTTTGCGACAGAGCCGCTTGGCAGTCAGGGCCGGTGTCGGGTGACAGTGGCATCGCTGCCATGCCAGGGCGGTTGCGCAGGAGGTCGAAGGAAAGTGTGATCAGCTACCAGGACGCGCTCAGGCAGCAGGTAACCCAACCCTAACCCAACATCCCACAGCAGGACAGGCTGTTTGGGATGGCTGTCGCGTGACGGGTGATGGGTGCCCCCTACAGGCTGTCTGTTAACATTAACAACGAATAACGATAAATAATGGCAGCATCACACCACGATCATGCTTTGCCTCCTGTCTCCTGAATACCACAACTCTCTCCCTGGTCTTGTTGATGTTGACAGAGAAGGTATTCTTGCACCACTCTGCAGACTGACTTGTTGTCAGTGATCAGACCCACAATGGTGGTATCGTCTGTGAACTGGAGCTGTGAATGGCTGGATGTTCATGTTCCAGGCAGAGTTCAGCAAGGGGGCCAGCACACTGCCATGAGTGTAACTGCAAAGCACTGCATAAATAATTTTTCGGTTTCCAAAATTGGCTTTTGCTTAATGCTGACAAGCTATGTAATCCTTGGAGGACATTAAGGTCAAATGCATCTGCCCCCTATAACAGAACAACTGGTTCCAGTCTGGCCCCCCAGTTGAAATGGTCTAGAACAGCCAATGCCTGCTTTGTTTTCTGGAGAGCATCTTGAGTGAATGAAGAGTCCAGACAGTCCTGTCAACTCTCCTCTGATCACAATCTTAATATCAACCCTAAAGACTGACCTCATGCGTAATAACTATCTGTACCCCACATCCGAGAATCTAGAACAAGGGTCTCCAACTCCGGTCCTGGAGAGCTACTATCCAGTCGGTTTTCAATCATACCCGGCTTCTGATGAGCCACACCTGTTCTCAGGTAAATACCAGGGCCAGGTCAGGCTCATCAGAAGCCGGGTACGATAGAAAACCTACTGGATAGTAGCTCTCCAGAACCGGAGTTTGAGACCCCTGATCTAGAACAATGTTCTGACCGTGTTCTTACTCTGACGCCCGTTAAGCAGCAGACTCCCATGCTGTGACTCTCTGCAGATCCAGGAGAGGGAGGAGCGCCGTAGGCAGGAGGAGGCGGAGAGGGAGCGCTACGAGACCCGGCTGCAAGCTGAGATGAAGGCCTACAACCCCTGGGGGAAGGGAGGGGGCGGAGCACCCCTCAAAGACCATCAGGGGAACCTCCTCAGTACGGGAGCACCGTCCTCCTCGTGACTCCACACTGCCTGCGCAGGAGTAATACTGCCTTAGTGGGGGCTGTTGTGTTTGGGTATTCCTTATCTGCCAGTTCCATGCTCCTATGTGATTAATCTATTCATATTTTACTGATACGGTTAAAACTATAAGATACCGTTGTTTTCATAAATAGGCCTGCTTATTTCAAAGCAATATAATATTTAAATGGATACCAAGATACCATAGTCAATTTTGGTATCAATCCAGTTCTATAGTGGGCTATCCAACCAGCTTGAGGTAGCTCACATTAATGGTACACGTGGTGAAAGCTGGAAGAAGCAGTACTGACTTGTGTGTACCCAGCTGACCTGAAGCAGATGAACCGGTCCAACAAGGAGGCGTATGTGACCCCAGGCGCTCAGGACCAGGGGGCAGCTGGTCAGGCGGACGCCAAGGTGTCGGCTCCTCGAGGGCAGGATGCCGCTCCCTCGGGAAATGGGATGTCAGGTGGGAGGGGTCGGAAAGGCCCACGCTCTGCTCACACTCTGGGAGATGTTTCTCTGAAGGTAACAGCCTGCTGAAGCTCCTTTTCATTCACCAGGCTGCTCCCATGCATCGCCCTTCGCCAGGGGCAACGTCTTTGTGGACCTACCTACTCCGCAGCAACTTCAGGAACAAGAGAGGTACAAGGACATCCTGAGACAGCAGGTTTGTGACATTCTGCTCCCTTAACAGTGGTACAAGGACAGCCTGCCCCTTTAAGAGAAGTACGAGGACAACCTGAGATGGCAGGCTTGTGACATTCTGCCCTTTTAAGTGCTCAGATTGGGTAACTAAACAGGAAGTGCTTCATGCCACGTAAGACTTGAAAAGCTTGTAAAGCTGGAATTGTGATCTCTGCTTCTGAACCTGGAGAACCAGCCAAACAGATTTTGAACATCACACCAATCACAACTCCTGTGTATGTCCATTTTTACTGGAATGATTTACAAAGATCAGGCAGCCTTTATTTGTATCCATTGGTGACTTTTAAGCATTTAACTCTAATATTCACAGCTTTCCTGCTACTCCTGCATTGACCCTTCTGTTGAAGAAAGCAGTGCAAATATCAGCTGCAGTCCGCTCCTCATGAATACAACTGCATCTCCCAGTGTCTCCTGGAAGCTCCTTTCTGAACAATGTCTGAGGAATGTGAGGGACTGTTGGGTCATGAGGCATCTGCACTGAGCACGTGCGTCCTGTGTGGGGCGGGGTTCACAGATTGAGGAGAAGAGGCGCAGGGAGGCGGAGGAACAAGATCGTCTCCGGCTGGAAGATGAGAAGGAGGAAAGGCGGCTGGCTGAGCAGAGAGCTCGCATCCAGTGGGAGTATGAGGAGGAGCAGGAGAAGAGGAAGCGCAAGGAGCAGGAGGTGTGTGGCTCCGCTTGGTGATGCCTGACTAATCACTGTCACAGTGACTCCTGGCTGATTAAACGCTCCAGGAGTCGTGTTCATGGCCTCCTTGCGTCCCAGGCTACAGGGCTACACTGGGGTTACTGGGAATGATTCACAGGTACAGGGAGGAAGAGGGGGATAGTGTGGCCAGTGTAATGGTCTGCTGGTGAAAAGCATTTCTCTTTAATCCTACCCCCCCCGTCCCCCCCAGCAAATGGCCAAAAATGATGAGCTGGTCAGGCAGGCGGAGCAGCGACGCAGAGAGGCCGAGAGGAAGACGCGTGAGGAGGAGGAGCGGCTGAGTGCCACACTGAAGGAGCAGTATGAGCGGGAGAGGCAGGCGCGGTTGGAGGAGGTGTGGCTCAGACTTTTCACTGCAGGCCTTTGCTTGAGAGCTCTGAGTCTCTCCATCGTGGATCTCGCACGGTCCTGACATCTGCCCTGTTTTTTCCCCACAGAAGGTTCACAGGGAGCCATCGCCACCCATACCAACTCTGCAGAAGAAGCTGGCTGGTCAGCGCACGGTGCCCCCGCCCTCCTCAGACACCCCCCACTCCGCGTCTGTACTTTCTGTGAGTGATGCAGTCTGTAGGCTGATACGTCACAATGAGAAGCCGTAGCCGGCATGGGGTCACGTGATACGGCCACATCTTGATGCTCGGATCACTCGCTGAGGCTTATGGGATGAGGGTCACTCTGGCTGCATGTGCAATTCCTCCCCAGGAGAGCTCTGTCCCTGCCCCGCCCTCGCCACCGGTGCCTGCTCACAGGAACCAGCAGAGGGCAAAAGGTATTGTACCCCCACCTTCACTACCCTGCACACCACTGGTTGCCCTGCGTAACCATAAGTAAGCGGCCGCTTAAGGCCCAGCAGCCACCAGGGGGCACCACATCTTATCATTATCAGAATGGGAAGGGACATGACAACTACGTTATTCAAACTTTAAGGCCCCAAAAAGGCTTGGGCAGAGATGAGAACCCACTGATTACAGTTTTATTAACCCTGCATCCAGTGAGCAGCTCTATTGTGCTGCACAGTACTGAGATCCACCATCTGCCCCTGTCAGAGGAAGACTCCGGTGTCGTCAGGGAACTGTCAGCCCTGCGCAGACAACTGCGCAGCAAGCAGAGGGTGTTGGAGGAGCAGCTGCAGCAGCGTGTGCGGACAGAGGATCTGGAGAGTCCCGGGAGCCTGCGGTACGCTGGGGCTCCAGGCAGGGTCATGTAGTGAGGGTCCGGCATGGGTGATGGATGGAGCTTCATGTGAGGCCATCAGCAGCTAATGGTCCTCCTTCGATAGCTCACATGGTAGAGCAGAGGACTGCAGAGGTGAGAAGGGTTTGATGCAAGAAAAGAGCAGTAATTCATTTAAAATTAATAGATAAATGAAATGTATATTGGGGCTGGCAGTCAGTTTAATTTTTGTAATCACGATTAACCACATAAACAGCGATTAATCGCATGTTCAGTCATATTTGTTAAAAATACATTGTGACTGTTCACCTACAGGAAAAAATGTATTGTTGATCAGATACATCATTACGTTATCGAACAATAAGTCAGCATCTTACTACTGTTAAAACAGTTGTTCAAGTACAGGACTTCTCTGGTAGACAATCCTGTAACAGGCTTGACTTTGTATATGCCTTAAATAAATAAATGGCAAAATGTGATGACACAAAATTTACTATGAATCACTACTATAACTGTTTAAAGGAAAGGAAAGAAATAGGTTGGGCAAGATACAGTACAAAGAAAGTGACAAGGGAAATGGCAGGAAAATAGACCTTGATTATATTAGAACTATAGACAGATATTATATTACATTACTAGTGAGAGTGACTTCTGCACGGAACTTACATTTTTAAAAATGAATTAAAGTGCAAGAAGAGACAATGTTTCTATGTATGTATGTTTTTTAAGAAGGAAATTTTGAAGGAGTCAAATTCACCATTTAAAAGATATATGTAATGAGCGATAAAAAGCAAAGGACTTTATTTTGTTATTAAAGGATTTGGCATTTTCTTCGTTTTCTCACTTTAAGCAATGTATATCAACTGAATAAAACAAGGGTTACTTATCCAAATCGGGCTTCTGCTCAGAAAGTGACTACAGTAACCTGAAACGCCCAAAAATATGATGGGAGCAGATGAACAATGTGGTACAGAAAACTCAATAAATGCATTTCTGGGGCTGTATGGTATGCTGTGCGAGGTTTTCTTTTTTTTTTTTTTTTAAAATTAATCGCACACGTTAAAGTGCTAACTGTGACCACTTGAATTATTTATACACACAATATAAGGACAAAAGTATTGGAACAGCTGGTCATTATACCTACAGGACCCTTTATGGCATCCCATTCTAAATCCATAGGCATCAATATGGAGTTGGTTCCCCCTTTGCAGCTATAACAGCTTCCTCTCTTCTGGGAAGGCTTTCCTCAAGACTTTGGAGTATGTCTGTGGGAGTTTTTGCTCATTCATCCCGAAGAGCATTTGTGAGGTCAGGCACTGATGTTGGACATGAAGGTCTGGCTCACAATCTCCATCTAGTTCATCCCAAAGGTGTTTGATGGGGGTTGAGGTCTGTGTGGGCCAGTCAAGTTCTTCCATACCAAACTCACTTGACCATGGGTGAGTTTCCCGAAACCTTCTTAACACTACGTCGTTCCTAAGTTCTATGTTAAAAGATGGAACTTACGAATAACTTAGCATTAAGAAAGCTTCGGGAAACTCACCCCGTGTCATTATGGACCTTGCTTTGTGCACTGGGGCACAGTCATGCTGGAACGGACAAGGGTCTTCCAAAACTGTTCCTATAAAATAAATATATAAAACATATAATTTTAAATGTAGTTATAATGCAGTTCATTAGATTAGATTAGAGGTATGACAGAGGAAAGACTGAAAAGTGAATCACAATAATCTTTATTTTGAAATCCTGTTGGAACCAGCACTGAGATCCTTAGGTCGCTGGTTCGAATGTGGCTCAGACAAGCATGATTGTTTTTGGGGAAGTGTGTAGCTCAGCAGGTTAGGACACCATACCTGTGATCGGAAGGTTGCTGACAGAGTGATGTCACCATTGAGCCCCTGAGCAAGGCCGTTAACCCTCCAGGGACCATCTGACCCCGAGTTCTCAAAAAATCTATGTTGCTTGGGTAGAAGCATTTGCGAAGTAAAATGGAATGGTTGGTTGGCTCTGGCTACCCTATCTCTATGTGCAATTTCTGAACTCTCCTGCCCCCCCCCCATACCCATCCTGCTGATCAATGGTCATGCTATATCCCAACTACATGCAGTGATCTTTGCTTGTGGCCCTTTAGGTTAAGGGAGCGCCCCCCTGTGGACGTGTTTGACATGGCCCGCATGCGCCAGCAGGCTCCTGTCAAGAGGCCCATGAACCTGCAGAACATCCATGACTTCAACCAGCTTAAGTACAGAGGCGCGTTTCCCAGTGACCAGAGTGGAGGGGTGAGTCTGTGGAGTCAGAGCGGCGTCCCTAACATCGCGTGTGTCGGTACAGACGGTGAGAGTCGGGAGGAGGTGCAGCACAGGTACCCAGACCCCCCCACCGACGAGCAGAGCCTGGAGATACAGCAGCAGGCCTTACTGAGGGGGCAACAGCGCAGGGTGAGGAGGGCAGATGCTGCAGGTAAGCTGGATCCCTGGAGACCCAGCAGGGGGCGCTCTCCCATCACAGCTGCTGTAATCCCCCTCCATGTACCTCCCCAGGTCCCCACGTTCCCCTGACTCAGCGGTCTGCCCCTCCCCCAGTAAGTCTTACTGAACACGCTCTCTGCGGCTCAGCTCTCACCACGCAGCAGTGTTTAAACCCTTTTGTTTTTCATTCTTTGTATCTCCATCTCAGATGATGGGTGTTGTCGCCGATGCCATGCGGAGCTCTCCTTTGCAGTCACACAGCATGTTTCTCAGTGAGTCCTGGGAGGGGGGGTTTCGGGGGCGAACCTGGAGCCATCGACAAGCGAGCATGTGATTGGGTGGTTTGGGACAGGAGGCTAGGATTGGTTGTCCGGTTACCTGCATTCACTGTGCCTCGTCACTCACTGTGCCTCTGACTGTAGAGCCCAATGAGGGCATAATGCCAGATCCGTACGAATGGGAACAGAACGCCTCCAGCAGGCCAGGAGAGGAGATGCACCTGGTGAGGAGAAGAGGGAGTGACCCCAGGAGGCCCGGACAAGAGGCAAACCGGCAAGACTTTGCTTCTTTCCGGCAGGTGGGGAGTTCGACTGAGCCACAAGGTTGTCAGATCCATACTTGCTGGAAGAAGTGGCCATTTTGATGTCCTCAGTTGTATTCAGCCTTCATCCTCCCTGTTGGGTGGACAAAACAGCCATTGAATGCTACAGAAGTTATTCCCAACATTACCTGTGGTGTGGGCGCTTGTCTCCAGCAGCCACGGACCTCTGGCCGGGCAGCTGGCCATCGGGACACTGGCTCTCCACGCTCTGGGACCAGCCTCAACATAGAGCAACTCAACGAGCAGAACCGGCAGAGGATGAGGGACCTGGAGGATCTGTACCGCTGGGAGCTTGGTGGGTCTCCTGGCTGTGCTTCAAATCGGGGTGGGGGGGGTGTTGAGCTGTCCACATAGCCACAGCGCAGTGACGAGCCAGTCCTTCCCAGGTCTGAACACGCTGGCTGACGAAGGGGCGGACCCAGCCCTGCGTGTCTTGCAGTCCCCACTGGACAGGCGCTTCTCCATGGATACGGTCGCCACGGAGCCCTGGCTGAGACCGGGCACCTCGGACACGGTGAAACGTCGCGCCCAGAGCAGCTTGCCCAGCTGGGAAGGTCCGTCCACCTACCATGGCTGAGGCCATACTGCACTCAGTTTGAGTAACAGACAGACATTTAGTGAGTAAAATGTATTTATTTGTATGTATTGTGTGCTGCCGTAAAAATTAAATGGTATTTTTAAATTCTGTACCTTTTGTCAGTGCTCTAAGGCTAAGGTCTAATTTCGAGCTCGATGGGCCGAATGGCCTCCTCTCATTTGTATAGTTTTTATGTTAATTTAGCACAAAATTCAGTCATTACAAAAAAAAAATCATAAAAATGAGGTTAAAATATCTA